TGTAAAGCTTGTACTATAATCGCTTCATACCTCTGAGGAATTTTCCCAGCTGAATATGTCCAACTGATCTACTTTACAAGGCAGCTGGCATATCAGGGAGGTAAATTCTCTTTTCTGAATGGGGAAAAACCTTTTGTTGTTTGCACTGGGGTGAAATCTTCTGTTGGTAGATTATGCAATTTTCTTTTAATGATAACTGCAGATTGAGAGGGTTGATTTTTCTCTAAACTTCAGCATGACAGGAAAAGGTTAAATGAAATGGATTATGTTGATGAATACACCTTTGCTATGCAGAGCCCAGAAAATACAATATAAGAATAATTTTGGCAATATCAATTATAATTTTTTTTTAGTGGAAATTATTTTATATTACCTGGCAAGGCCTTTTCATTTTAATTGCTATAACATGGTATCTATAACAGCAGAGTTCACAAGTCCATGATCCTCTTTCGCTGATCCACTTCAATAGGCAAAGTTGATGTGTATATCTTACAGACCCATCACATCGACAAGGATTTAACAACTCACCCTAGGAAAAAAATTAAAAAGTTAAATAAATATTAAACTTCTCTAATTCCAATACACAGCACATTTGTTAAAAAAAAGGTCTCATTGGCCAAAATAAATCTAATGTTTCCTTCAGCAATATCATTTTGCATATTTCATTTGTAATCATTGTTACTTTTCTTATTCTCAAATGAGAGATTAAGAGAGTTTTTAGGAATGAAAAACACAAGCTGTATCACTAAACATTCTTGTTGATGTTGTTTTTCTTAAAATTTGTCCCACAGTTGCAGGATCACTTGTTTTGCATTACGTTTGTTCAGTTCTCACAGCAAAGCTTGTCAATGCATGAAGGAACAAGGGGTTTTGTTTTTCAGCCAGCCTGTCAGAGCCTGATGGTGATTAGGGCAGAGAGGGAATGACTGGCCCAAGGTCACCAAACTGGCTTTGTTTCCTAAGGGAGAAGTAGAACTTGGAGCTCCCTGCTGCTAGTCCAGCAAGCTAACCACTACACCAGTGATTCTCAATCTTTTTGAAGCTGCAGCCCCCCTAAGGAGCGGAAAATTTTTCAACGCCACCCTTTGGGGGGGAGGAGTTACTGAATTATAAAAGGCAAAAATTTTAAGTAATTTTTTTCAGTAGACTTACACACCAAATTTGTTCGA